TTATATCGGTGAAGTGGAAGCAGACATCACACTAGACAAAATTGAATGGAAAATCCGTCATATCATTCCCAACGATGATCATAAGTTGAAAATAATGTCACGCATGAATAAGGGGGGCCAAAGTACCAATATTCAAATAGCTTACCGCAAATGGGACCTTTACGAACTTCCTACGTTGCGTGAGACTTCAGCCGATATTTGGACTTTAAGAACTAGCAACAGTTTGGAGCGACCCCGCTTTCTTATAATTGGTTTCCAAAAAAACGAAAATTGTGATAAGAAAGAAAAAGACGCCACAGAATTTACTACGGCTGATGTGAGCGACATTCGCTTATACCTGAATTCCTCGGTATATCCATATGAAAGATGGAATCTAGAATTTTCAAAGAAACTGTATGCACCAGCATATTACAACTATGAAAATTTCCAAAGCAGTTACTATGGGCGTGAGATGAACGAGCCAATGTTGGATTTTGCAGAGTATTTACAAAATCCTGTGTTTATTATCGACTGCAGCCGACAACCAGAAGCCGTGAAGTCCTCCACAGTGGATGTGAAAATAGAATTTCAAACAAGAAAGACTAAATTTCCAAAAGACACTAAAGTTTATGCGTTAATAATTCACGACACTTATTTTAGTTATAATATGTTAAATGGTTCTGTAGCAAATAGATCCCTGTATTAGTTTTTAAGTTCAGTTACAAATAGATATAATTTATGTAATTTTTTATTTATTTAAATAATAAACGCATTTATAAAACCCAGAAGTTTAAATCGATATTATATCACGTGTGAATTGGGTGGGCGTTAGTTTATACTTCAGATGTATGGTGGGGAGGTGGTATCGACATTATAATATTGAAACGTTTGACTGAGAAGTCATTCCTATCATCATGGCACAACCTGAAAGACCTTTGAGTAGAGGCTCATCCGTTTTCAGTGACGAAACGGACCGCAATAATGATGATGACTTAGAGCTTTTATTAATTTTACAAGAATTGCAGGATTTGGTGGACTTGCAGGCTGAAGAAGATGCACGTAGTCTAGTGGAGCCGGACTCGAGCAGCGACTGGCCGGAACCCGTTCCGGAACCGGAAGATTGCTCGGGTCCCGCAGACTCAACTACTGGGTGAATTATCCAACAAAGTCAGTAGTTGTACCCTTATTTATGATGTCGAATGCTATACCCCCCTCGTAAATGAAATGGTCCTTTTTAGGACCTCAAAACAATTCATCGTAGTTAGTTGATCATAACTTTTTATCCATATATTGTTGGAGAAGTTGTGTGCGCTTATATGTACAAACATAAATAAATTTTGTGTGGTTAAACAAAACACGTGTTGCCTCGCCTACTCCAACTAGTTTAAAATATGTTTGTGTATAGTTTCGATCCAAAGTATTTGTTGGTAAACACTCATCACATTCGATTCTCCCCAATCAAAGTGCGCCATGACGATACGCGGTGTGATTGAAGAAAGAAGCAATTAGTAGGTTCTTTTCATTGACTATACTCGGCTTGTGAAAGCATTAAGATTATCTACGATCAACGACATTTTGTTGGAATGTAGGTATCGGATTTTTTTTTGAAAGGTCGGAGACAAACGTATTTTCATACAATACATTTTTGTAAAAGTGCAGGTGTTTCGAATAACAGGGATATTTTGGGACCATAAATCTATCCGCCGAATAGAACAATAGGCTTTTGACTACAATGGCAAGTCCTGAACAATTGGGTCATTTTGTTAGAAGACAGGTGTCTGATTTATTTTGTAAAAGTGCAGGTGTTCCGAATAACTGGAATATTTCGAGAGCATAAATCTATCTGTCGAATAGAACAATAGGCTTTTGACTACAATGGCAAATCTCGAACAATTGGGACATTTTGTTAAAAGGCAGGTGGATTTATTTTGAAAAGCTATTAGAGAAATCCATTTTCATACAATACATTCTGTATAAGTGCAGGTGTTCCGAATAACTGGGATACTTTAAAACCATAAAGCCATTATTTTGCAATGTATTTTATTGTTGCTATAAGAATTTTCATTAATAAACTATGTAGAAGCAATTTGTAAATTACAGATGGTAGATCACATAAATACAAAACTTTTTTGTCTCATATAATAGCGTTATAAAACCACTAGTTTTTGAGTTACAGGTTATTGTTTATAACAGAATTTGTTCAAATAAATTCATAATTATATATGCTAGAAGTAATTTGAAAAGCATAGACGGTAGACCTGATGAATACAAACTTTTTTGTCTCTTTCAATATTGACGTAAACAATTCAGTTTTCGAGTTATAGCTAAGGGCGGCTCCCCAACGAAAATGTTTTTAGTTTTTTTTTTTTTTTATAAGTCGCTTATAACAAATAAAAAAAATTGAAAAAACTTTTTTTGTGTAGGGTATCAAAATTTTTGTAATGACTTCAGGAAACCGAATTTGAAGGGTGGATCAAAAAAAAAAAATGTATCTAATTTTTTATTAGAACATCCCTTGGTGGTATGTATTCGCCAGAGCTGCACTTGTTTCGATCAGGTTTTCGTGCGGCTTGGTGTTTATAACATGTCTATAAAAGCCAATCCTTCTTGATATACATCTCTCATTTGGCAAACAACACACATTTTGATTTTAGTTTTGTTTGATAAATTTGAAAACAAGAATGTCTTTCTATCAGATAATCACGTATTAATGCAAAAATCTATTGAGGTTAGGTGGTATATAAAAAATGTGTGATTTTATTCCCAAAATGTTCCGTCATTGCAACGTCATTCAATAAATTTCTCAACTAAGAGAATGGGTGGTGGTGCGGTACCATGAACTCGCGCTTTTGTTAAAAGGGTAGTTTTCTTTGGGAACGATGAAGCGAGACAGCGCTTTGTAAGAAGAGACGAAGACAAGAATATATTTTTGAGGGTGTGAATACAAGTGCGTAGTTGGGTAGGTGGCGCATGGTGGTGGTGGTATTTGTCACCCAATCGAAAAAATCTTAGGTGGGTGAGTTTTGTGTGGGTGGAGTGAGGTACCACTTTAAAAGTCGATCTACCCATACATTTTTATCAGTCAGCTTAGCATCATGGAGTCTCAAAACTCAGTCATCGAAGAGACCCTTGCTGCTAATTTACCAAGCGATCTAAGGAATATAACCTTAGACGCTCTAGTGTGTGCCCCAATTGTAATACTATCGGACGACGACGACGCCGAAGCTTTCCAAACAGGTCCCCGCCTCAAGAGGCCAGTTAAAAATCTCAACCTGATGAGGGGGCCTGCGTACGAAGAACAACGGGCATCTGTGTTGGCGAAAATGCTGTTTACTGGGGGGGATGGGGTGGAAGAAGGTCGCCCCAGTGCAAAAAGACGACGGGCAGGAGCACAAAATCAAAAGATGTCGTCCGAACAGAGCAGCAGCAAGAAGCAACAACAACAACAGCAACAGCAACAACAACAGCTGCAACAACAGCTGCAGCAACAGCTGCAGCAACAGCAACAGCAGCAGCAGCAACAGCAGCAGCAGCTGCAGCAACAGCAGCAGCAACAACAGCAGCAGCAACAGCAGCAGCAGCAGCAACCAGAGTCTGATGACCTTCTCCAGTTAGTAATCCGACGGAAGGAGGCTCTTCAGGAAAAAGTTGTTGCTGAGAGGGCTGCTGTTGTAGCAGCAGAACAAAATCTTGAATCTTCAATCAATCATGCTGAGGATTTTCGGCGGAGAGTTGAAGCTTCAAAAGCTCAACTCGAAGCTTTGAAAACAAGATTGGCAGCAGAAGAGCAAGAGTTGGAGGACGCCAACCAACAAGTGGCGCTACAGCAGGTGGATCTGCGTGTGCTGATTGGTCGACGTGAAGAGACAGAAGTGAAAATTTCCAAAGACAAAGAGTTTTTAAATAATTTGTGGACATAAGTTTAGGTATAGAATTTTAGGATAAGTATAGCTATAGGATTTTTTTTATAATAAATAATATATAGAATAAGTATAGCTAAAGATTTTTTTTTTTTTAATTTTTTTTTCTAATAAATGATATATATCTCTACAAGTTTGTTTTTGTATATTTCAAGAAAACCTTAAATAATCCCCAATGAAATATTTGGGGATAAGAAATAAACATATGCAGCCGTATTCAAAATCCTCTTTCAGCTTTAAAACCGCTTTTAGAACTGGTGACTTATTTATTGAGAGAGACAAAAAAAAAAGTTTTGTACATTTTAACTAAACTCTAATCAAAATATTTTGTGGCTCTTTTTTGTTTGGCCGATTTTGTTAGGGTTCGAGGGGGACATATGCGTTCTACACAGTTGTGGAATCACAAGGACCGAGTGGCGAAGGTGGCCTAGACTGTTTTTCCCACACACCATTCGTTTTTACAAAAATCCATGAGTCCTCAATTACCGAAGACTGAAATCCTCGGCAAAATCCTTGGTAATCAATTTTCAAGACTACAGAATATTAACCTCGAATTTGTGAACTTCTAGGTCGATTCTGTTTGAAAGTTGAGTTGCGTAAGAGTGGGATTGGTGGTATAAAAGTTTGGAACGTTTGACTAAGAAATCATTTTTATTCATCATCATAATCATCATCATATGTGCACAACCAGAAAGACCCGAGAGTAGAGGCTCATCCATTTTCAACGATGAGACGGACCGCAATAACGATGACGACGACTTAGACCTTTTACTAATTTTACATTAATTTAATGGGGAGAATAAAACGATTCATTTGAGCATTTCAATTTTTATTATTTAATCCATAACAAAATTCGATTCAAAGAGCTTTTTGTTAGAATTATTCGATAATATGTTAGATTATTGAATAATTCTTTAGAACAAGGTGCCAGTCGTGAACTGAGCTCTTTGTCGCACCTCATTCAGTTTTTTTTTTAATGTGAAAACGAAATTTCAAACAAAAAACACATGTATTTACAAAAATCTACATCCTAACAAAATATATACACTACTTATCACTATTTACTAAAATTCACATCCTAATGCTAACGAAATATATGTACTACTTATCACTAAAATTAAAAGTCTTTGCAATAGTCCGGAAATTGTTTTTTAGTTCGGAAATTTTCGCATTGGAATTGCTCATGCAGCTTTCATTGTCCAGCATTTTCTGCCGAAACTTTGCATACTCACTACGATACAACTCCAATGCAACCTCCTCCTCACACAATTGTTTTTGGAGCGCGCTATGGTTTTCCATCGCGCGCGAAAAAATGTCTTTTCCTGAGGCCGAAAACCCGCTCCAATCCGGCTGTGAAAAAGTCGTCGCGGATTCGAAATTCGCACTCTTTTTTACTATTCGCGTCGCGGATGCCGCACTCAAGTTCTTTTTTGCTGCGCGCACCGATTTCCTACGTCTCCCACAAGTGATGATCGGCGATAACGGCTGATCCGAATTATCGTCAGGAATGGAAATCGGTGGAGACATTTCGCGTTCCGACGAAGTGGCTGGAGTGATCGGCGAGTATCGGGGCGGCTGTGGTGATGGCTGTGAAACAGCACCTGGTCCCTCGATAACCACAACGTCGGGTACCAGGTGTTCGGGGGTTTTGGAGCGGTTTTCGGTGTGGACGAGGTCCGGTATTTTCCTAGGCTTTTTTGTCGATCCATCCGGGTGAATCGCTACATAAAACATACGCTTATTGCGCGCTACTTTCGAAGGCATTGTCAATGCCTTCTCAAGTTTTCTCACAATTCGCGGCCGGATGACAACATCACTCAATACTGTGATCCTCTCCTTCGTACCTCGCTGCCCATTTTCGATCTTCATCAGCAGATCGTCTATCGCCTCATTGATTTGTGCGTCACAACCATCATCTAAGCTGAAATAATCCTCGCAAACTTCTGGCTGCGGCAGACTATCACCCTCGCGAACTTCTGCCTGCGACGGCAAATCACCGAGCGAAAACGCGCCCTCCATTTCCTCCAGCGCATCAACGCACAACGCGTCCAATCCATCGTTCAGGGTATTATCAAAATCATCCCCCCAAAGTTCGAGCGACAGTTCGTCAAACACGTTCTGCCCCACCGACCCGAGACTTGCGATGATTAACTCTTGAGCCGAGTCACTCAGGCTCAATGGGTTTAATAAAGAAGAGTTTGCAGATACTGATTCCATCTTCAAACTGAAATATTTTACGCAAAATCTCAACAAACTTTCGATGCTGAAGGGTTGTTCAGAACTGTTGAGCTCAACTCAGTGAGAACTGTGAGAAAGACCTTTCGAGAACAGATTATCCCCCACCAAGTATTCTTGAGGGTTGTTTAGGGTTAAAATCTGTCACGAACCAAGGGAAGAACATACCACCCACGTCAAGGCTAAGATATCCGTCAGCTAGGTGTGGGAGAGGGGAATCCGTTGTGGATGTTTGTGGGGGGTGCTAAAACCTAACAATTCAAGGCCAACTATGTTAGAGAAGTGGATTTTCAATTATACCTTATTACATAATAAATGAATACAAAAATTAACAATTACAAATTATGATACATATTATATTTACAACTTAAAATACAAAATATGGATTCTCCAGTTTTAGGGTCATCATTCATTCATCAATCAATCATTCATCATTCTCCAAAAGCCTTTGGCATATCATTGATAACTGTTCTATACAGTCTGGTTCAGACAATAAATTTTCCATACTGTTTTGCTCGAATGAACTTGCCTCACACACACTAGTTAAAATTTGTCGAATTTGTTCCGGATCGGTCTGATGAAATGTTATATCTATATGACCCCAAGGTAGAGTTTTTATTGACTGGGGTATTATAAAGCGTTTATCGTCATGGTGAGAAAGAGCGACCTTGTTTAATATTTCTGTATAAACATCGTGCCGCTCACTTCGGAATGTTTTCATCTTTCGAAATATCAAACCACCACTCTCAACGACTTTGCGATAATCTTCCAGGTTGATATGTTTTTCGACTACCGATTTCTTAATCCCTTTCGCTTTTTTCAATTCTGTTTTTAATGATTTTACATAATATGCTTTAGCTCCGGTACCATAGAAAGCGCTTATCGGATCACCTGGAAATTCATCTTTCATTCGTCCCGGTACCGATTGACTTTTCCTAATATTAAAAGGATTTCCGTCAACCCAATTCGATGTATCGAATTTGTCTGGGTTTTCTGCGATAACGCGATAAAAATCATCCGTAAACACTTTTAATATTAGGGAATCCGTGTCTGTGTACAGTAAGGAAGCATCATCACCAAACTTTTCCTTGATGAAGGTGTAAAAAAAATCATAAATTACGGTTTTCGACATGTCCAATATGGAAAACCCAACATATATTGGTTTGTCATAGATCACTTTGACCTTATCCATATGGATAGCTACAAAGTCATCAGTGAAATACGAACAGCTATTGAAATTAGGACGAGCTATTAATGCGCGTGCTCCAACTTTACCGACGCTGTTCTCCCACTCTGTTATTAATTTTATGTCTTTACGCTTTTCCACATTTTCCATTGTTTTACCGAAAATCGCATTTATAATTAATTTAAATAAATCCCTACCAAATTTTGTGGCTGATAAATTGCGCAATACTGTGTTGAAATCAATATATTTCTTCAACCACTTTGACTGATTGAATTTCAAAACTCTATGAGTTTGCGTTACTATTAGGCCATTCGAAATAGCTTGTTTTAGAGTTCTATAATGTACAATATAGTTCTGTTTATCGTTTAGGTTTGGAATTAATTTTTTCATTTTTGCTGATTCTATGGGCGGAACAATACTTTCCACTAAAAAGGGGAGGTCAGCATGAGCATCATGCAAACCTTCCGGATAACACACATCAACTTCTAAAACATAGCCTTCTAGATCATCATCATCAACATCCATAATATTTAAATCATTTATTTCTTGATGAGATAACCATTTAAAACCGCCGAATGGTAATGCTTGCGACATACTGTGCCCATATAAATTTGTTGCATCAAGATATGTGATAAATGATGATGGTTTCGTGGGATCATAATCTGGTAAGTATTTGTTATTTGCTACATGCTTCCTTTCAGTACACTGACTTATACCTCCGCGAATACCCTTTTTGAAAAAGTGAACCATATCAATATCAGTCAATAGCTCCAACTCTACTTTAGTCATACGTAACATACAATCAAATGATAAACTTGGAAGTGTATAATATTGTGCGGGATCTAGTTTGTAAACATTCAGACATGTATCGCGAAATTGTTCGAAAACATCACTCAATAGTGTTACGTCCGACTTTAGATACACGTCTGAATATTCACCCAAGTTCTTACACTGAAACAAACGCCAAACCTTCTTTGCTCTTTCGTAAGATTCATCGCTAATATCCTCATCACGTAGAGTATCAAAAAACTGGTCTTTTGTTGGAAGAGTTGGGTAATTCATTTTTTCCAGCGAATCAAAGAAACTATAGGGGAAAACACCCTTTTGACGAACTAAACTGAATTCCTCATTATTGGAAAAATGCCTACGTGTTTCCCTGAAACTATCAATTTCCAATCCGTTACCCAAATTTTCCAAAGATGCCGATAAAAATTTAAAGCTATCGATAAACCGTAACTTTGAATTTTTTCTTTTCAATGAACCAGTTTTTTTATCCATGTAGTCGTGTACGTAAATACTCTTTGTGAACGATATATACTTTTCCTTGCTCCGAGCTATAACATTAATTTTATCACCATGGTGACACAATTCTTTAATAAACAAATGACAGTCATACCCGCTCAAATTGTGAAATATAATGGGGATAAAATTAGGTAGTTTATAGTTTAAATTACAAATAGAATGAGCAGCACCAAATCTTTTCTTCCCCGTTATATGACAGTGATCTCTTACTTTAATATCATTCTCTTCAAATGGTTTCTCACAAATACCACAAGTTATTGCATTTCTAAAATCCAACTCTTCGTCAGGTGTTAGACGATTCATTGGTTTAATATCTTTACAATAGGTGTTATAAAGATGTCTCAAATCGCTTTCCAACCGAGAAACAAAAATTTGGGCTGCGTCATTTCCGCGATATAGCTCAAACTTAGAAACTGAATCATCAAAGGAGCATTTTATAAGATATGCGAAAGAATACGGTTCATGTTTGACGCTTTTCAATGTGTAAGAGCTATGAGGGTTTGGTTCGCTAGTATCCATTGGTTTTAAAATCGATTCAAAGTCCGCATAAACCACAAATGGAACACGCATTTGTTTTTCAATATTTTCAAATTTCATTATGTTCTCCGATACAAGGCTTCCAAATTTATCAGTCTTTGAATCGCTTGTTGGTGTCAATGTGTATACATGATTACAATCATTTTGTTGATGCATCGAAATGAATGAGACAACCGTCACAAAAGTATAATTTATTTTCTTGATTTGATATCTGACTGGATACCAAGCGTGACAAGTCTTTTATCCAACAATAATGACTTTTGGAACAGTTGATATCACAACTATGTCGTTCATCACCATCACTTCTGATGTGACAATCTTCAGTTACCAACAGCAAATTGACATGTTGTCGCAGTTTTCTACCCGAATACCTTAATGGACCAACAATTTCGTATTTTAATTTATTATTTTCGAATAATGATTGCAATCCATACACATTGACTGATATATCATTCATTTCCTCAAACTTTTTTATGTCACACAACTTTACTGGAAAATCCATACCTGCTAGATTTAAAACTCTCGAATAGTGTGGGTAAGACGTAATCTGTGACATCATTCTAGCAGCGGGAAACAATGCTGATGTGACAGCCCAAGCAAAACAACACTGGTCCTGGTTTATCACATTAACGGTGGCGCCTCTCATTTCAATGCTTTTGGGTAATTTGATGTAGGATGAGCCACCGATAGGTCTGAACTGATTGATGTTAACCTCCAAATAAAGAATTTTCCTTAAAGCCCATCCTGTAAGTGAAAGATTTCAGTTAATAATTTGCTTAAATCTACTCACTCATTATAACATACCCGAATCTCTCTCCTGAAACTCTGTTGATTGTGTTTTCATTGCTTCAACAAATGATTGGTAAAGTTCATTTAGATCGCTTCCAACAGCAACAATTTTATTGCAAGTATTAAATGATTTTTCTGTGTTCACATCTTGTGTCGGGTGATAGTATTGTCCAATAACAACCATATTCACTTTTAATGCACCATGAAATCCCAACATCTGCTCCAACACATTCAGCACTTTCAGCATAACATCATTGAAAAATACTGTAAAGTCAATGTGTTCGGTATCGCTGCTTATGCGGTATGTTGCAATCCTGCTTCTGAAAGCGCTGTCCACACGTTGTACACCATCACATAAAGGTATGCAGGAATTATTTCTATGTTGTGTCGTCCTCTGATGAGCCATCATCAAATTTGAGGGTATTGATAGATTGCATGCGGCACATGTCTTCATAGATGCTGTTGATGCAGCTCCATCTAACCTGGGTTGCTTTCCACCAACATCACCAACCATAAATCGGGCTTTGCAGGATTCCCTCATATGCCGCATCATACTGTAATTACGACTGAATGATACACCACAATTTTCACAAACGTAAACCATTGTTATTGTTCCGGGGCGATTGGAAGAAATCTTTCCGCAAAAATTCTCGTACTAAAGATCAAACACCTCCCAACCCATATTTATATGTATTAACCAAGGTTATCGTCGACTCAAGTTCACATACCAACTTATGGGTCGCACAACTGACCTTGAGCAACTCAAGGTCAAGGGCGTCAAGGTCGACTCAAGGATGCACACGTCTGCGGGGGCACTTGAGCCTGGGAACTTTTTCAATACCGCGGGAAAATCTCTTGATCGACGGCGCCTTTGATCTGAAATTTCACTTGAGCGTGGGAACTTTTTTGGTACCGTGGGAAAATTTCCAGATTGTTAGCGCCTTTAATCTGAAATTTCACTTGAGCCTGGGAACTTTTTTTGGTACCAGGGAATAAGTGGGAGGCGCTCAAGGTCACATTTCAAGGTCAAGGTCATGGTCATGTGACGTCAGAGGAGTGGGGGGTGGTGTCAAGGTCATGTGACGTCAGAGAAGTGGGGGGTGGTGTCAAGGTCATGTGACGTCAGAGGAGTGGGGGGTGGTGTCAAGGTCATGTGACGTCAGAGAAGTGGGGGGTGGTGTCAAGGTCATGTGACGTCAAAGGAGTGGGGGTGGTGTCAAGGTCATGTGACGTCAGAGGAGTGGGGGTGGTGTCAAGGTCATGTGACGTCAGAGGAGTGGGGGGTGGCGTCAAGGTCATGTGACGTCAGAGGAGTGGGGGGTGAATCCGAATCGGGCTTTGAACACTACTGCTGGTAGTGGACTGTATTTACTTTGCGGCGCAACCTCTAAATAATGATAAAAAGGACTTACCCAATGATTCCATAAGTGCACTCCTGCAGGGACCCTGCTTTACACACGCGCTGCGGATTATGGTGTTCCCACTTACGGGTTATGTAACTTTGTAGAAGGTTGATACGAGAGGACTTCACAATGAAGTTTTGAGATTAGAAATATTGCGACCGGGTTAAGCCGTACGACGACGCGCCCGTGTCGTCTCATCGAGTTTCTTAGCAATTCTGTCCAATTACTCGCTTCTGGTACGTCCACTATCAAAATCTAGAGGTACGACCTTTTTTGCGCGAAACAAAACAAAAAAATGCGAGCAAACAGGAATTTTGCACCTTTGCCAAATTGTATAAAATTTATTTAGAATAAAGACGAAACATTACCGCCCACCAAAAACATGCAAGTGTTTTTTTTCTTGTTTCTTTTTTCAAGCCAATTTGGCACTATAGAGTCCCAAGAACAAAAACAAAAAAAAATAAAAAATTCTTTTGTTAAATTAAAATTAAAATAAAATTAACTAGAGGTATTTAGCTATATACAATATCATCTAAGTTACCTATTGGGATGGCAACATAGACACTTTATTAACCGGCCGTTTAAGAACTCCATGGGTTGTCTTAAGGGTTACAACCCGGATAATACCGTCAGGACCAGGATGAGTTTCAGTTATGCGTCCAAGTCGCCATTTGAGGGGTGGAGTGAGTTCATCTCTTAGGACTACTAAAGTTCCAACCTTAATTGGGCTTGGATTAGTATGAAACCATTTGTTGCGCTGTTGCAGAGTATGTAAGTACTCGCGGTGCCAACGTTTCCAGAATTGTTGGTGAAAATGTTGAAGTAGTTGCCATCTACTCAAACGATTTAAGCTTATGGCGGACAAATCGGGATCAGGGATAGTAGATAATGGAGCCAGAGTTAAAAAATGACCCGGGGTCAAACTCGAGAGGTCATTGGGATCCGTACTTAACGCAGAAAGCGGACGGGAATTCAAGACCGCTTCGACTTGGGGTGAGCACTGTGTACAGTTCCTCGTACGAGAGGATTTGGTCACCGATAAGACGGACCAGATGAAATTTGACACTTTTGATACCAGCTTCCCATAATCCTCCAAAGTGAGGTCCAGCAGGGGGGTTAAATCGCCAATCAATTTTTTCTTCATGGGCAGCTTCGGCAAACACTTCATGGAGGTATTTAGCGGCGCCAACAAAGTTGGTGCCACAGTCACTATGAATCACCGAAACTCTACCACGTCGACTTAGAAATCGTCTCAAGGCAGCAAGAAAAGCAGAGGTGGTCAGATCTGAGGCAAGTTCGAGATGAAGTGCCTTTGTCGCGCAGCATACGAACAGACATAAATAGGCCTTTTGAGATTTGGCACCTCGAGCTCGAGTGAGGGTAATAAAAAAGGGACCGCCAAAGTCGACAGCGGAACATTGAAAGGGTTTTATCTGAGTGACCCTAAAGGAGGGTAAATCACCCATTTTGGGTTGCATGATTGGAGGGTTTACTCGGAAACATTTTAAGCAATCAGAAGTTACTCGAGTGATTGCTCGTTTCGCAGATAGAATCCAAAAATGTTGTAAAATTAAGTAGTTCAACGTTTGTTTTCCACAATGGAGAAATTTTTCATGAAAGTCCTGAATTATAAGATCGGTCAATCTGTGTTGAGCTGGTAATAAGGCAGGGTGTTTTTGTTCAAATGCAAGTTTGGAATGAACTAAACGACCGCCCACCCTGAGAATACCAAGTTGATCTAGAAAAGGGGAAAGTTTTTTAAGCTGATTTGAACAGCGACGACCCTTTGACAGATTGTCAATATCCTCACTAAACACCATCCCTTGAATATATTTCACTAGCGTCATTAGGGAATTATGCAATTCAACATCTGTGAAAGTATTAGTCGAAATAGTGGGTTCATGACGCATTTTTTGGATCACCCGAAGGCAGTACGAGAATATCCTTAAAATGGTTGGGAGCGAAGAACGTTCACCTAAAAGCCTGGAAACACCATCAATTTCCGTAGTGATAGCACATACTAATTTTCCTTCTTCGGCGAGAACTTCCGGTTGCGGCTTTGAATCGGGTTCAAACTTTGATGCAGGCCACACTTCCTGCGGCAACAGTAACCATGCGGGACCGTGCCACCACAAAGAAGCGTCACACAATTCAGAGGGTAACATGCCCCGAGTAGCGCAGTCGGCGGGGTTAAATTCCGAGGCAACGTGGTTCCAGTTTTCAGGAGGCACGATATCCTGGATTTGGCTGACTCGATTGGCTACGAAAGTTTTCCATCGAAATGCCGGCGAGCGAATCCAAGCGAGTGAGACCATAGAATCCGACCAAGCGTAAATCCGCGTAAAGTTAACGTCTGAGTAAGTGGCCAAGACAAATTTAAGTAATTTTGCGGCCAACAAAGACGCACAAAGTTCGAGTCTAGGAAGTGAAATACGTTTTAACGGAGCAACTTTGCTTTTTGCATAAACAAGGAAAGTAGAAATTTTTTGGTTAGAGCAAACCAAACGTGAATAGATACACGCTGAATATCCTAGGCTGGAGGCATCTCCAAAACCGTGGAGCTCAATCGAGACATATGAGGAAAGAAAACAATGTCTAGGGATGCGTAAATTTGACAAACAGGGAAGATCGGCCTTATATTTTTTCCATGTTTTCGCGATATCAGAGGGAGCCACATCATCCCAGGTGATTCCTTGGACCCAGAGATTTTGCATCAATAATTTAAGGGCGAATGTAACAGGGGCAAGGAAACCTAGAGGGTCAAAAATGCGAGCAATTTCCGAAAGTATGGACCGTTTAGAGCATTCTGATTTTAAAACTTTTATTTCGTAAGAAAATTTATGGAGGTGGGGATACCAATGAAGTCCTAAAACCTTGAAATAGGAATCCGTGTCATCCATTGAAATAGATGTCAATGTTTGGTGAATATCAGAAGGTATAGTTGATAAAAATTCCAAGTCGTTACTAGACCATTTTCTCAAATCGAAGCCTCCCAACTTTAAGAGCTGGATTAGTTCGTTCTTGATAAGGATGGCTTCACTTAATGAATTCGCTCCATCAACGACATCATCCACGAAAGTTTGATTAAGAAGAACTTTTGAGGCCCTAGGAAAATCCTCGGAATAATTTTGCGCCAACTCAAGAAGACATCGTAATGCAAGAAATGGCGCACTAGATACTCCATAAGTTACCGTCTTCAGAACAAAATCCTGAATGGGATCTGAAGGGCTAAATCGCCAAATAATGCGTTGATAATCCCAATGACATGAATCAACCCAAATTTGGCGGTACATCATCTTGATGTCAGCAGTGAAGACAACCGAGTAGCGTCGAAAATTTAAAAGAATAGCAGTGATGTCCTTCTGGAGCTTAGGACCGGGTAAAAGCGTTGCGTTTAGGGACTCGCCTTCTGTATTTTTTGCGGATGCGTCAAAGACCACACGAAGCTTGGTGGTAGAAGAATTAGGATTTATTACGCTGTGATGAGGAATATAATACATTTTTTCGGGACGATCTTGAGCGGGTAGGACAGTTGCGATTTTCATGTGTCCCAGGGACAAATACTCATGCATAAAATCGCAATAGGCCTTGTAAGTTTGGGGATTACTTTGTAATCTCCGTTCTAGGCTATAGAATCGACGTAAAGCAATGGAACGTGAATCAGAAAGAAGCGGTTCACCATTTTTGAATGGCAGGGAAACAATAAACTGTCCATGGGACGTGCGACGGTGCGTATTCACAAACGAACTTTCGGCCAAGAGGTCATCAGAGGAGAGAGTGCTAGCTTGAGGAACTTCTTCAATTTCCCAGAATTGTTGCAACTTTGTTGTAAGATCATCATTTTCAACAAGCGCTGAGAAAGTATAAAGTGGAGTTGGAGTTTGAAAATTGATTTTTCCCATCAGCACCCAGCCAAAAATTGTGTTGAGGGCAACTGGAGATCTTCCACCTCCATCGATTTTTCCAGGCAACCAAATATGAGGAAAAACTGAAGCTCCCAGTAACATGTCGATACTACCTGGAGCGTTAAACGATGGATCAGCTAACTTCAAATTGTTGATGTGATCCCAAGAATCGGTTTTAAAGAATGCGGTTGGCATGTCAGAACATACTTTGGGTAGGATAATAGCTTCTAAATTGACTAACAACTTATTGTTGATAGGAGGACCGATCGAGAATAGCGTCACACCTTGTGATACAA